AATACTGCCAAAACCTAAACTGAATTATTGAGTTTAATTTTCCATTTTAAATCGAATTTAAAAGAAAAATACTTTTATAATTTACCTTATATTAGAGTCATTGTAGCATTTTTATAAGGGGGAATATCATCACATTTTTAATCACATGTAGTTTCAATTTAGTCTACTTACATTTTTAATATTCAACTTTAAAGGGGTCTGTCCACACATAGTGTTCTTGCTGCATCTATTCACGTAAGAGGCTGTTCCCCTTCCTCCATTACACCATTTCTTTTTCTTTTTGTGGTTGAACTTTCCTCTTTTTGGCCAGTACCCACAGGCAGTCAATATAATGTCTCCCAGGAGCTCATACCACAGGGCATTGGTTATTCAAGGCCAGGGTTTTATATATGGCCATGAGCTTCACTCAAATCTCCTTTCATAATCCTTCCTTAATAATGGTTGATGAGTACTTTTCTAATGAGGACTTTCTGTGATGGCAGTGTTTATCCAACCAAGAGAGCAGATTTCTGATAAATCAAAGAGTCCAGGTTTTTCCTATTGGATGGATGGACTGAAAGTACCATCTCTGGAGCACAAATGTTGCTCTGAGCTTTTGGCCTGTCTGTTGCAATGCAAGTGTTTCTTACTGTTTGAGGTGCCTCACCTTTGTTCCTATGTTAATCCTGTAATAACTACCAATTCTCTGTTTTTGAGCTGCTGCTGCCACCTATTTTTATGACACCAAGGGCAGTATATATCATATTATGTCCTCTCTTAATATCTATTCATAGTATTAAGTCTTCATTTTTTTCAGATTAATGACAAAAATGAATGTTAAACTAAGCTAATAAAATATATACACACTGAGAAATTCAGCCTTTTACTTAAACGCTGCTACACATCTTCTGGGAGAGCTGAAGTCTCTTAGTAAAATGTCAGATTTTGATTGGAACTGATTATTTTAATTACTGAAAAATGATGAAAAATAAAGTAATGGTCTGAGGACACAAGTATGCCTCCTAGATTACTTAAATTTCTTGGGAAACTTTTATAGCTATGATAATTTACAAGGATATTTCTCTTTTCAAATCCCATGAGAGTTGCTCGAGAACAAAAACTTGAATAAAATCATAACCACAATGTGCTGGGCTGGCTATACAAGCTTAGCTAAGTGCAAGAACCTTTCATCTTTCCAGCAAGAAGCACCTCAAGATGAGCAGTTGTGCTGGTGTTGTAGCCTCTGACTTGATTTTCCTTCAGCACAGCTACAACTTGTTTGATCTTTTTGCTACTAGAAAGCTCTTTTTTAATCATGTCATTTGTAGCAGTCACATAGGAGATTATTTTCTACTTCATCCTGCTTCACAAGCGTTATCTCGTGGAACTGGCCGTCTGTTGCAGCAGGAACAGTGTTGTGTAGATCTTCTCCAGGGTCTGTGTGAACTCAGGAATAATTCATCACAAGAAGCAAATGGGAGTGGTCCATCTGTCCTACTGCAAAAGAAGTTGTTCCTTTTTCTCCCAAGCTATGCAAAGCCATCACCCTGCATGGCTTTGAGTTTCTGTGCTGTTTAGTTAAGTACTGAAGTGTTGCATGTCTTCTGTTTCTTATGGCTCTTACTCAGCTGTGGAAAGAAATATCAAGTAATGTAACCACTTTCTTCCAAATCCTCAGCCAGAATCTCAGCTGGTGTAAGTCAGCAGAGCTCCACTGACATTATTAGTGCACTAGTGATTCACGCCAGCTGTGGATCTGGTCTTCTGTCTCAATTTATGAAGGGCTTGAACTAAATGTCAGGAAATATGAAATGATCTCTTATAGTCAGCAGTTCTCCAGATGTGTTAATGGAGTTTAAGTTTACCAAAAGGCAAGACTTCAAAAAGTGATCCAACAGAAGAATAAACTTCCAAGAAGAATGCCTTACTTACAGGCTTTTTGGCAAGAGAGGACTATACAACTCACTGCAATTTAAAGAAATTAACTCAGTTATGCATCAGAATATGGTAATACAGCTTCAGTGAGAATCCAAGATTCCAACTAATTTCACACAGAAAGCAAGATGTTGGCATTCAGTGAATAATTGCCATGCAAACAGGAATCATCAACTCTTAAAACCAAAATTACGTTGCTTATGAACTTCATGTAATGAGCATAATGCTTCCACTTTGCAAGTGTAGTTGCATTTGTTCACAGGAGCAGTATTACAGCTTTTGGAGATTAAATGAGGACCATGTTGTTACAAGAACACAGAAGCTTAGTAGTTCTAGCCATGTAATGTTAAAACTCAACAGTGATTTGGCTTATAGATGTGATATTATGTATAGTGCTGAAAGCAGTTATTTTAGCTAATGAGGATAAAATTGTTGTTGACATCACTTAAGCACTGTCAGCCTTACTTTTCAAAATCAGAAAATGCTGGAACAGGTGAAACCTCAAAGTCAACAAATGTGGGGTCTTAGAAGTCTTTTATGCCTATATGGTATATGCCTAGTCTTATATGCCTATATGGCGTATGAGCATATGCTCTAAAAAAAAAATCCAGTACCTGAAATAGCCTGTGGTGGTAAACTGGTCTTCACAGCCTAATTTATTTGCTGATGAGACCTTTCAGAATTAATTAAAATGATCAGCATGTGACTCCATACTGTGTGATTTATATATGTTCTCACCAGTGTCATAATGCTTTAGATAGACCTCAAAAGGTAAAAGAACACACCTTCAATAAATAACCTTAGCGTCACACTGTGTTAGGATATGCTACCTACATTAAAAAAAAAAAAAAAAAAAAAAAAAGGTACAAATAAGTTACTTCTGCTAGCAATCAGAACAGCATGGAGTGATCTGACCCTGCTGACCAGAGGTCAGTGGCTAAGGGCCCAATTCTGGCAGGTTTGTTTCACAGTTAGTCCAAATGACTTTTGATGACACACACATCTGTCTAGATGTCACTGCATACCAAAAGGGAAAAAAAAATGCTTGGACACAATTTATTCAGACTTGAAGGAAGCATTTTAGAAGACTTCGCAGAGAAAGCCAGTTAGACTTCCAGAGAAAGTAGTTATCATAATCTGATTATACCAATACATTGAATTTAAAGTGTTTTGCGGAATTGGAGTGATGGATAGAGTGGTAAGGAAACCCTTCTGAATACTGGAGAGCTCTTAGGAAGTGACAGCATCCAAGACTCAGCATTTACTGGGCTCTTGCTGATTTCCCAGAAGGATGGGGACTCCAACTCAAAATGAAAATCTTTCCCCAGGTCCACAGCAGGAAACACTGTCGTGAAACCTCTGAACGTCCAAGGGCTTGACAAACTTGAAGTGTGAGAGACTATGACTCACGCAGTGGCTGGGGTCATAGGAAGCTCATTGCATTTTCAAGATTGCAGTATTTTATAAAAACTTCAGCTCCCTAGAGATTTCTGGATAGTAGTTCTGGAAAACTTGGTTCTGAATATGTTTGAAGCCAAATTTAAAAAGAAAAAAACCTGCTGAATATAACTATATCAGGTCTGCAACACAGAGTAGTTGAAAGCAAATGCTTGAGTTAGTCTGAACGTTAAGATTGCTTTTGCATACCTCACTGAACTAAGCCCTCATATAGCAGCATTTGAGAGTAACGCTTTCCATCACTTCTGTCTAGTTCTCCCATCCTGGTGGCTGATGTGTTGGCTTTGGTAATATATGATTTTTTCACCTTCTGTCAGGATTACACCAGTGGAGTATACCTGGGCATGAAGCCATCAACCCTTATGAAACTCCAACCAGTCCAAAATCCTACAATACAAGCATATCGGGTCTGCTCCTTGCTTCCTACACTGATTCCCTACAGCATACTGAGCCAAGATTAAGAGATTACGGTTTATTTTTAGAGCACCTAGTGATATCGACCTGAAGTATCTTGTCACTGAAAACACCCATATCTGTGATCAGTAATTCTTTTCTCGAAGCTCACAAAAGTAAAGCTGTCTGTGAAGGATTCAAAGGTCTTCTGTGAATTCAGCCTATACGTATAAGATTAATAACTATAGGGGTCAGAAGCTGTTGCAAATGCCACTGTCTTTGGGAACACAAGATACCTTGCCTTCCCACGCATAAGCACAAAGCTGTATTACCAAAATGGTGCCTTGGAGAGAGAGGAGAAACAGTGAACATGGGCCCTTGGCAAATGCCGGGAGCTCGTATAGCTGAGACATTTAAATGATCTACGTTACTGAGGACAGTCAAAGGAGTGTGAAATAGGACTGACTGATGCAGAGCAGCATGTTATTCAATGTAATGGATGTCAGATTCAGTCACGAAGTTTTCAAACGGGATTTTGTGGTGTCCAGCTATCTGAGGGCAAACCTGTACTTTGGCATACACCTATCAGGGAATGACAAGTGCTTCTCTTTGCATATGTTTATAGCAAATGTAAACATAACACACATACAGAAGAAGGCGAGGGATTTAAAAGTCCCTGAACACCAGGATTCATGTATTAAGGAAGGATTTTCTTCATTTGCCTTTGATTTCTTCAGCTCTACTCTTTGGAGACAAGCTTGCACCTTCAAGGCATGGACCATTAAGGCAACCCAGTCTGATTCTTTGTATGCCTTCCATGTCAGACTGATGGACAACAGATACATGCTTAACACCAGGGAAAAAATAAAGAGCAGTTAACAGCATCATCCTGTGTGGTAGTAGAAGAGCAGATCCTTTATATGTTTTCTTCATTTGTTCTGATCTCCCTATCTCTCTGTGTGGAAATTTTGGGTGAAACGGTCATTCTTAGTGTCCTAAAAATTGTAACAAAATAGCTGAAGCCTTGACATTTATAAGCTGAATTTCATCTGTTCATTCTACCATTGCCATCTCATCAAGTAATTAGGTCCCACAAAAAGCACTTTTCTCTTACATGTAACCTTAACAAAAAGCTCAAAATACACTATTAAATGGTTAGCTTGGTGGTGTATATGTTGGAATCGTTTATATCTGTACCTAAATTTGTTTCAAATCTCTTTGCTTTATATTTCCAGACCTGATCTGACCTCACAGAAGACATCGGTCAAGCATTCCCTGGATGTGATGTCTCTGGAAACACTGGAAAACACTTGTGAGCTGGAGGACCTCTTTGATGACATCTAGTTATGTGTCTTCTGAGAAACTGAGACTGGCGCTTCCAGTAGAGATAAGCTATAAAACTAAAAGGCTTTTTTATAGACACTGAGCTGAAATCTTTACTCTGAGGTGATATTTGATATCTCATGTTGCTCTAATCCTCTTGCACTGCACTTGTCCCCATTCTTCACTACACGGTTGTAGACCCTTGGCCTGTTAGGCTTGATTTGTGATGGCCTTGAAATCAGTTTAGCCTCTGTGTAGATCTTTTATCATGTATATATGGAAAAGGAGAGCACCATCATAACATTTTTACATCCTAACAGTCTCTGACAGCTAATTGTATCCAGGATCAACTGGTTTCCAGATGTCCCCAGAGAGTAAGTCAGACATAAAGAAGATTGAGACTACCACTGTACTTAACTTATATACTGCCCCTTTCTTGAGAAGCTCAACTTAGACGTGATCTAGCTAAATTATTTTCAACTTTGATTGAGATGCAACTTCCTATATTGTGAGTTTAGAATGATAACTGCTGACATGAAACATCCAAAGAAGTGTTCTTTCACTTTTCACTTGAAGGTTCTCTGCGGCATTATGAATTATAAGGTATTCTTGCTTTTGGGAGTAAAGTGCTTATAAAGTCATTATTGACTCTATTTTAACCTTCTGTAGAAACTCATAGCTTTTAAAATCATAATTTTTAATACTTCATCATTTTTCTTAGGGTGATTTCTAAAAAAATAAAATACATTCTAAAAAAATATCAATTTTGGTTTTATTTGCTTAGACACCTATGAATAAAGGGACTAGTTAGTAAAGTATGTTAATGTATGACCTTTTCATGCCCAAAGCTGATGCATTCATTCAGATTTAAGGCTTCATTAAAGAAAAAAGTTTGCAACATGTATTTACCTTCAGCAGTCAGAATCAAGTGTACAGAACTAAGCATGCATGTCAGGTTTCTGCCTTGCCATTTTAAGAGTCTGAATCAATTCTCATTTAAGGCAGAGAGAGCCAGTTCTTCTGCCTCAGAAAGGATATGATCCAACAAGGGTTTTAAATATGTGAGTAATGCCATGAAGTCAGCAGGACTATACAACTTAGTCCTGCTTCTGTGCTTTATGGCTTGCAATGGTCCTTGGAAGCTACTTGGTATTTTTGAAATGGCGGCTTATTTGGGCCCTGATTCTGCCAAAATTCAATTCTATATTTAACTAAATGCATCCGTGTCAGTATCTGCAGGATCAGGGCCTCATTTAAGAACCTATATGTGGATCTGGGTATGTTATATTTAAGCATTCCTTTCTGAAAAAACACGGTCACAGCATTTTAAATTCACAAAGGGCTTTGGGTCAGTGTTATAAATCACACAGTAAAATCATGAATGGCCAAAATATTTTGCTTGCTACAAAGGCTTTGTGCCTGAGAAATGACAGGACCACAAAAGACCTATTCATACACCCATTCACAGACATTGCCTGATTTAAAATCTTCCAGTGCTGATCTGACAATGCGTTCAGCAAAAGCTTGTATATAGTTTCAGTTTTAATGTGAAAAAGTTCCCTGACTTAACCCGAAATACAAGAGCTTGGTTTAATTGTGCCAGCAGCAGAAAATGAAGGTAAATGGAGCTGAACATCCCATGAAACTCTGCTTGCAAGAAACTGTTGGTTTCTAATAGTAAAATGTTGTTATATAAATAGGGAATGTTACACACAGTTGGCAGATGCAATAAAGTCTGTCAGAATGTTTATTCTTTTCTCTTTTTTTGAGGTTTATAGAATCAAGCCAAGAGTTGAGCAGAAAATTATGTGATGGCAGATACATACCTTGGACTGTGTGAGCACAGGTGTGTCATCTAGTTGGGGTATCCATGGTACAGAGCCAGCTTCCAGTCATCTGAGACTTTGTATACACAGGGACACCTCCTCTCCCCTCAGAGCCATGCTTCTTTCTGAAGATTTATGTGAGAAACCAATGCTTTTCTGCCTATAAGGTTTCATTTTCTAGTTGACTTTGAAGAGGAAAGACCTACCAAAATGAGCACAAATTATGTGTGAGAGTGGAGGTAGTATTGCAGAAGCTGCAGAAAATCAGTGAAACTTCCTTATCATGCGTATTTGTCTTCAAGATGTAGGGACATCCACTTTATCGTTAAACTCATTCATCCCAGTGCATTGAAATAGACCTGATGGCCTTCATCGACCAAGCCAAGAAAAATCTGTTTCAAACTAACCTGTGATGTTTGGGAAGGGAACTAAGTAATAACGCCTCGTAACATATTTAAAAAAAAAGCCTACTAAATTAATATGATACTCAGTGCTGCTTGGTTAAGTCTCCGAGAAAAGGTGGGATCTTTGCTATCCCTCCATGCCAATGGAGTTCCTGCTGGAGGGGCTTTCCAAAGCTTACAGAGCAGAAGGGTTCCCTAGTGAGTCAATAGACAGTGCTCCTATTCATATATCGAATATAATGATCACCTATTTGAACAATGGCATAAAATCTCCTAGTTTATGTTCATGCTGTGATCCACCGTAATCCTTGGATTCTTCTGTGCAGAGCTAGTGGGTACTCACTTGTTTTTCCATTCTGTGTTTGTTCAGCTGACTATTCCCATATGGGTTTAGTAACTGGCATTTAACCACATTGACTTGCATCCCATTTTTTAAGCTGATTTCTCTAACTTGTCAAAATTATTTTGAATGTTCATTCTTCTTCAATTTGGTACTAGGAGTGAATGTAGTAAGTTCGTTCTCCATTGCTAACATCCATCCAGACCATTAATGAAAACATTGAACAGTTCTAGACTTAAGCCTCACTTCATTCATCCTTCTATTTACTAGACCTACTAAACTTAGACTTACTTTGTGAGCAAGGTTTTCTAACTCACCTTTTGGAAGACCATGTTTTCAAGGCATGCCTATAAAACTGTCACGTGAAATCGCCTGACATGAGATGTCAGTCAATTGCTTCCCTGTCCAAAATATTTTAGTGGTGACAGAAGACAAAATAGAGAAACATGCCCACAAATGGTTTTTCAAGACAGGAAATTAACCGAAGTTAGGAACCACAGATCAAATTTCAAAGGCCATCCTTAATTAATACTTCTCTTTGATATTACTCTGCAAATGATTTCCCAGGTAAATTTTTTCTTCAGTTTAAACTGTACTTTTGAGGAATGTAAAACAGGTAGTTGTTTTACAGGAGGAAAACCATGATATCTTTCATTAAAGGTTTAGTTTTGTCTATAGTTTTAAACTTTTAATGTAACTACTTAAACAGAATATATGTTTTTATGCGTAACAATTTGTCATTTGAGGTATGGGTTTGTACTGAACCAAAAAAAAACCCTCTTTTCTTCAGGAAGAGCTGTATAGAATATTGCCTTTGGGATGAAAATATTATTGTTTTGGCAATCTATATCACTATTTTAGCTACCTTCTCACTATTATTCCCAAAAGTAGACACTCTTGTGTATATATGTGTGTATTAGATATATTGTTCTTCCTTGCTTTGTACCTGTAACATGAATGATTGTGTGTATAAACATGTTTCGCTGGAAATGTTCAGTATAGTCTAGCTGGCATTGACAACTTCTGCAGTTTGATCTAGCAACCTGGAGGTACTTGAGGAAAGAAAAAGCCTTTACACATGGGAGTTTAGATGCTGCTCAATGTTTCAGGTAAAGCTGCTTTTTTCTGGCTTGCCATCTGCTATGTGGGAAAAAAAAATGTGGAAACAGTGAAGTAAGAATGGTAGGAAAACAAGGCAATAAAAGCATGTCCAGACTGCTTAGAGACTGAAAGTAATATATTTGAACATCTTCTGAGCAATGCTAATATAGAAAAATGTGCCAGGAGCTGGTTATCCTACTAAAAGAGGAGCATTCCCGAAGATGGAAAACGCCTTCTGTTCCTTCTTGTCTCTGGTAATACAGCAATCCTCTCATCAGGGATTAGTACCACTTTTCTGCTGAATATTTTTCTGCTTTAATTTTATTCTAATTCCCTTCACAAGGTCTGAGGTCTCAGCAAATTGTTTCCCTAAATTTCCTTTTGGTGATCTGTCATCCTCTGTCTCATTTTTTTTCCATATAATGTTGACCAATGTCTGAATTTTCATCTCTCTCTGACCATTGAATGATTTTCTTCCTATTATAATTACACTCCAAAATCAATTTCATTCATAAAATCTATCAGTATTAGTCTGATGGTGTTAGGAAAAGGAAGCCCTGTCTGTTTTTAAAAACAACATTACTGAAAAGGAAAATACCAAGCTGAAGGAAGATTACTTCTGGAGGTCCTTAGGGATAAGTCTTGGGACCAATCTCATTCAGCATTTTCATCAGTGGCATTGGCACAAAAAATAGGAACGCCAATGAAACCTGTTAATGACGTGTATTTGGTAAGCCTTATGAGAAACAGCTGTTTATTTTTTTGAATTAAAAGCAGCCACCGCCTTTAAACAATGCATGAACAAGGCATGCAGGATTAGAAATTTCTGATGGGTGTTGTGGAGATTTGTATGCCTGTACAGAGAGGGGAAAAGCACAGGGGCGGAAAAAAACAGTAAGGTACTGAAAGAAAAAGGGTATGGCTGGGAAAATTCTGGGATTCCAGCCTGAGAAAGAGAGAGAAAGCATGTGAGAGGTAGCAAGAAAGAGAGAAAGGGAAAGGGAAAGGGAAAGGGAAAGGGAAAGGGAAAGGGAAAGGGAAAGGGAAAGGGAAAGGGAAAGGGAAAGGGAAAGGGAAAGGGAAAGGGAAAGGGAAAGGGAAAGGGAAAGGGAAAGGGAAAGGGAAAGGGAAAGGGAAGGAGAAAGAGAAGGAGAAAGAGAAGAAAGAGAGAAAGAGAAAGAGAAAAAGAGAAAGAGAAAGAGAAAGAGAAAGAGAAAGAGAAAGAGAAAGAGAAAGAGAAAGAGAAAGAGAAAGAGAAGAGAAAGAGAAAGAGAAAGAGAAAGAGAAAGAGAAAGAGAAAGAGAAAGAAAGAGAAAAGAGAAAAAGAGAAAGAGTGCACTTTTGGCCTAAATATTGGCTGGAAGAGTGGGTGAGGACTGGGAAGAGACACTTGACCCTGTTTAATTCATTCTGTTTGGAAAACAGGATTGCAGCACATGCCTGGCATTGTCTGATCTTGAATTGCTTGCTAACCCCACTGGTCGGAGGGAGTAACAATAATGAGAAATTGCTTTTTTTGCCAGTATTCTCAGGTCTTGTCAAATGGCTATAGCAGCCTTAATATCATCTGAGATGATGATATTGTTAATCTCAGGTGAGGTTGTTTGTTAATGCCATGGAGAAAAAGGATGACTGTACTATTTTCAGGTTAACTATTGGGATGGAAGGGTAACTCTGTTTTGGTTTTTAATGTCTCTATTTGTCTTGTGCAGAAATAGTTAGCTGAAGAAGATTTTACCATCATATCTTCAACATCACAGAGTCACAGGACAGTTGAGGTTGGAAGGGGACTCTGAAGATCATCTAGTCCAATGGTCAGAGAAGGGTCAATACTAGGAAGTTACTTGTACCATGCCCAGTCTGTTATTTAGAAAGCAGAGAACAAATTTCATCTGCATCTTCAAAAAACTTTTAATATAAATAACAGTTCTGAATGTAAATCACTCTGCTGGGATTTTATGAACCTTTCTGCACTCACCTGGCAGCACCACTCATGAAAGCTGCAGTCCCATCCTACTGCAAGTGCCTCTCTGTCTTCAATGCTAATATGTACCCCAGGTGCCGCAAAAGTTTTCTTCCGAGTCTTAGCTTTATGCTTCAGCTGGGACTTAAACCAGTGGGTCCTAACTGGAATCGTCTTCACAAGTAGGAAACAAATCCATTAAGCTGTTTTAATATTTGAGCTGAAAACTGCTGTCCTTATTATCCTCTGTTTGTGAAGGTCCTCTCCCACACAGAGCTGTTGTTTATTTGAGAGAGACTGAGAGAAATATCTGATGGGAAAATTTAGGTCCAGATGTAGACATCCACTCCAGTACTTTCTGAAGGGCATGAAAGCACATATTTAATTATCTGTATTTATGCAACTACTATTGTTACAGTATTCATCATGTAGTAGTCATCACTACAGCATGAAGTACCTATATTGCTCTGAGGAAATTAAATAATATCACATTGTCCTTCTTTTCCTGCTTAATTAAATATGACTTGGAAGTCCTGCCTCTCATCTCTAGTACATGGTTCTGATTCACATCAGTTGAGCATGAGCCCTGGATTTAATCAAAGCATCTACCCCAGTTTTCTCATGTATCCCATTAGCTTCTGGTTTTCTTTCTGGGCTGTTACAAGATCCTCCTTGACTTCCAATGTAGTTGAAAGGTGATTATAAAAATGAATTTTAATTTTAACCAAAAGCCAGAGTTCTAAGGAGAAAAGGCTGGAGATAGTTACGTACCTCCAGACTCACCTTCAGACTGCTCAGGCCATGTAAAACATAAAAAAGTAGTAAAATACAGAGCTATTCACAAGCTCAGTATGGACAGTTGATTCCAGAGGAGATTAAAAACACTGCTCAGAAACACTTAAATGTAATGCTATTCTCATTGTCAAGGAAGAAAAAAAGAAAACAAATGAAGGCACAGCTTTGCTAGCACTTCCTCAGTGCTTGGCTGTTACTAAAGCTTTGAAGTTTGAAGGGAAAACCTGTGTCATAAGCAACAAAAACTAGTGATGGAAAAGCCCTACCCTATTAAGTCACCTCATCCCCCCTGTGCCAAACTTGTGGGAAAAAACTGCAAGATTGTACCCAGAGGTGCTAGTCAGAGAGGCAAGGCATGGGTGGAGCTTGGGAAGGAAGAGAATACAGATCCTCCTGGGGTGCTGGAGCTGCTCAACCACCCCGTGCTGGAGTCCTCTTGGCCAAGTTGGCTTTGCCCCCTGCGGTGAGTCCAGGAGCATCGAGCACAACCGATACTGTAGTATCCCAAATGGTGGGAAGCTGCTGCACGTGAAGGATGTTAAGTGAGTGGTAAACTCTCTGGGCTGGATTAAAATGTATGGGTTGAGACGTTCAGCCTAAGACAGTTTCCCCTGCTTCTTTGGCAGCAAGGAAAAATTGGGTGTCTTCAACTTCTCTATGTTGAGAGGATATGACTCACCCCCAGGTGATACCCCTGTCTTTCTCTGTGAGTATTGAGGGAACGGAGATGGCAAACATTGAAGCTTGTGGCTTCTTGAAGCTGTGCAGATGACCACAGGTGGCTGGGTAGCCACTGTTTTTGTGGTTTCTGCACTCCCGAGAGCAATAAAGTGGTTCAGAGTACCTGACATACGAGGTTATCAGACACTTTCAAGGTGGTGGTCAAGTCACAGTGCACAGCAATGTGTCTGTAGGCAATCCTAACGTGGTCCTTTGTGTTTCACCTGGGCACGGCTGACATCTGGACCCCCAAAGCCTGCCTGCACGTAGGGAAAGGTATGTTCTTCTGCCTTCCCAGCTGCTTGTTCCTTGTGTATCATGCAGATATCAACCAAAGTCACCTCAAAGAGGAAAATGGCTTTTAGATTTTTATTTACAAGGACACTGGAAGAGCTTTTATGCCACAGAGAATTAAGGAGACAGAGAAGCAAAGAGTACGTATTTTAAATAGTCATTGAAAAATAGATCAAAATATGAACTACAGTGATCAAGCACAAATCCATCTGCTATAACACAGATTAATTTGTTTTGAGTTCTTGATATTGAATTCTCGATATTCAGGGTAATTAAAAGACCTATCTTATGAGTTTCCCACATCATCCGGATGAATTTTTTTCTACTTTTGACTTCTTACTATATTAGGAAAGGAAGTACTAGCAATACTCTCTGGTACCATTTCCACATAGCTAGCACATGGTTAATTTTCCTTCATATGGAGGGAAGAAGTTAATCTTTATCCTTTCCGGTAACCTGCTGGAGAGGCTGCTGGCAGCCCCAGAGTGCACCCTGATCTAAATTCCATTTGCTCCATCCCTCCTAGCCTCTGTCTCGCAGCCACCTCCAGAAAACCCTACCACCTGCCCTGAGCCCAGAGGGCATTTATGAGTATGTTCGAACTGAAATGCTGCCAGGAGGTAGCTTTCTCAGCGCCAAGCACAACTGCTCTTGCACTGGTGTTCAGCAAGGCAGAGTCCTGTTAAACGCGGCACGGTCCAGCTTTGCCCACTGCACTCGGAGGCATCGTGCAGAGCATCCCGTGGGGCTGCTGGCACGCAGGTAGTGAAAACTCCTTCTGCAAGGGGAGTGGTCGGAGCAGAAAGGATCCTGCATTTGTACGAGCTGCTGTAAGTTTACTTTGGAAAATCAAAACCTCATTAGACATTGTCTGCAGGGAACTTTTACCAGACATGTTGAAGTAAAGTTCACTCCACCCTCTTTTCAGCAGCTGTGTTGGAAGCCAAGTGCAAATGTTATATTAGGTGTGGATGTAGCGAGTGCAGCAGTACGACTGGTCCTCAGGAGCGGATATGTAAAGCTGAGCTCTCAGATGTCTGACACACATAGTAGAACCCCAATATTAAACAACCAAGGCTCAAAACAAGCAAATAATGTCTGCCACATCTATACTTCTGCCGTGATGCTCTCTCTACAAATGCTGGTTAATTATTCTCTGCAGCTGATGCAAAAGGCAGGTAGTAACTGTCAAGTAATATGGGTGACTGACAATGAGTGAGCCATTTTACCCACCAGTTGTCCACAAAGTTGTTCACATGAGAGTGGAGAAAGCTCAGCAATGCGTAGCACAAGTCCTGTGCTTGGATCAGACCATCCCCACCCCATTTACCTAGGAGACTGCAGT